TGGTCTCTGATTGGATAAACCATAGAACTGGTCTCTGATTGGATAAAACATAGAACTGGTCTCTGATTGGATAAACCATCAGAACTGGTCTCTGATTGGATAAACCATCAGAACTGGTCTCTGATTGGATAAACCATAGAACTGGTCTCTGATTGGATAAACCATCAGAACTGGTCTCTGATTGGATAAACCATCAGAACTGGTCTCTGATTGGATAAACAATCAGAACTGGTCTCTGATTGGATAAACAATCAGAACTGGTCTCTGATTGGATAAACCATAGAACTGGTCTCTGATTGGATAAACCATAGAACTGGTCTCTGATTGGATAAACCATAGAACTGGTCTCTGATTGGACAGACCGGGCCAACATTAAGCTTCAGAGACCTCAAACAACTGTAAATTTGTGGACTCTGATTAAAATCCAGGCTCATGCAGGAAAACGAACCAAATAAATGAGCTCTTCCAAGAAGTAAAGAGTCAAATATTGACCAAAATTCAGCCCGAGTCTTGTTGATGGAGACAAACAGCCTGAGGTCCAGGTGACACTTGCTAAGTAACATTTAGCTAAATATCTTGGGGGGGGGGGGGGGGGGGGGGGGGGATATATTTAAGCCTTCATACAGGATTTGACCTTGTTTGGAATAGAGAAGAACAAAATGGTTTTGCATGTTGCGTAATAATTCCAGCTTGGATGAAGAACAGTTAAAACGAGTCATTAAAAGCCCCAAATTAAAATGACATTAATGCTAATGATGGGAGGATGGAAACTTCTGATCTAAGCTGTGCATCTTATTAACTTAAGCATTTAATCACTTGACAGCTTTAGCTTAAGAGTAACTACATGTTTTACTGAGAGGGGAGAAGAAGAAGATGCTCATCGTACCCTCAGAGGTCTGCATGATCAGTGTCTTGCTGTACTGGCCCACTCCGCTGGCGTTGAAGGCCTTCACTCTGGACTTGTAAGTGCTGTTGAAGTGGAGCCCGTCCACCGTGCAGATGGTCTCCGGCCCCACATACACCTCCTGTATAAATACACACGAGGACACCAAGCTCAGTCTACAGCCGAGTATA